TGTAAAATTTTAATAGATAAAGTGTGTAACACAGAATATAATTTTCAATCTTATCTATCATCATCTTCACTGAGTTCTATCGATATATGTCCAAGTATAATTCCCAAAATCATATTTCTTATGAATATTCCAACAAGCAATAGCAAACATTTCCAAAACATTCGCTGGGATTTATGTGTGTCTCAGATAAAAATTGATACATTTCAAAAACTCTCCGGGGAAGGCTTGAACTTCCAACCTCCTGATTAACAGTCAGACGCGCTAACCAATTGCGCCACCGGAGATCTTGTAAGTGTAAATTAAATTATAATTATTACAAATATTTTTTTGTTTGGCAAGGTGAAACAAAGAATGCCAGTCAAAAATTTTCTTGTGTTTCATTGTATTTATTTTACAGCTGTGCTTCTGTATTATTCTTGTCGTTATTAATATTCTAAAGCTCCAAAAGAAGAATTTGGAAAAAAAGGAATGACAAAAACCTATCATTTTTCATATTTCGCTGCCATTTGCTTAATATCTTTAGCAAACGCTCAATTAATAATCGATTTAGAAAATATTCCTGCTTTTGCCGAAGGATGGTCTTCATTGGATGACTTTGTTCGTTGGGGAAATTTGTTTTCTTCTCCAAACAATTGGGATTCTTCGAAATTCTCTGCTTTTAGAAATATACTTTTGAATGGAATTGATTTATCTCCATCAGCAAGCAATAATCGGCCCACAAACCCTTCTAAATCTCTATTAGAAAAACTGCGTCTGGATTTAGTTCTCAGTTCCTCTCTAATTAAGAAACATACGTGTGCTCGATTACTTCAACAAGAATCAAAGGAAATTACTAAAATAGATCTTAACAATTGTCCAATGGATGGAGTATTTTCAAACGAATTTTGGAAACATGAACTGAATGACAAAGCGATTTCAATTGGAATCCTATCATCTTCTTGTAATCTTAATCCATCAAACACCAAGGCAACAATTTCCAAAAAGTTATTGATTGAAGTTTCAGGATGCTCAAAATTGGGAGCAGTTGACGCACCATTTGGAAGACATCCAGGCTGGGTGAATACGTTTTCAATATCTACAAGTTCTCAAATTGAACTCTTTAATCGAAGACAACCAGAAATAATTTCTGGGTTTAGTCGTGGACGTTCTGTCACAAGAGATTATTCTGTGAGCGGTTTTAAATCGTGCGATAGAGTTTGTGAAGATGGATCAGTTTCTATTATTGATGAATGGATTAAGTTGGACCTGGTTCGGAATCTAAAATTATTATAATAAACCAATTTGTTTAAAATTTTCAACAGGAAACCAACCCAACACGTTTAGTTTTGTTTTCAGATGCACCATTTTCCGATTGTACGGCTGGATATTTAGTTTTTTCTGCGGATATATTTGCTGATTCCTTTGGCCGAACTCAGGTCGATTTTATTTCGATGGATCACGGAAATATATGGAATGATGACTCTATTGCATTGATAGTAGGAGATTCAAATGCTGTGTGTCCTTTTGGTGTTGAAACTGGCTTGCAAAAATTAACATCTTTTGCAAATCGACCATTTTCTTTGAGGAAGAGATTTGGAGAAGATGGAAGACGCTGCGAAAAGCATATTGATGAACATTTAGACGCTTTGGTTTTTAAAAATATTTATGAAAAATACTTTGGTATTTCTACACTGTTTTAATTTCTATTTTTTTGACTTTCTGATTTCTCGAAGACAAAGATCTAGTATCTTTATCCACACAACCATGGCCTTCGATTTATGACATCTGGTCTGCAAATCTATTTTCAATGGACGAAAATGTAGATCATCATCTTGAATTTATTGCAAATCTCACCGAGCAAACGTGTCCCTCATGGTTTAGCGAGAGTCAAAACAGAACATACATGCAAATTAGATCACCACTCATTATTCCTCCATTTAACGATTTTGGACCAAACAATATAACAGATTTATTTTCACTCCTTGAATTCTCGTTGAAATTCACATCAATAAATCCATTAAATTCCGAATCGACACAACCAACATTAAATAAAAATAATTTCCCTTTAGATTTACAGTTTTTAGGTGATATTTCTACACAAGACAAGCTTTTGACAACTATTAGTGACTCTACTATTGAATCTATTTCATCTCTTTGCAAGGAATGCAATAGCATTGAAGATATTTCTTACTTTTCACTTTATAAAGCTATTTCAGAAGTTGAATTAAGACCATGTAAAGAAACAGTGTTTGGTGGGATTGGAGAGCGACTCAGTAAGTTAACTCCAGTTGGAATCAAAATGAAAGGTCAACAAAAAGGACAATCAATCAACCCCAAACAAAAAGTTCAAGAAATTGACAAAGATGAAGAAGATGGTTTTGAAAAGGATTTCAGCGATAAAACACTTTATCAGGAAGGTACTTTTGAAGAAGATATCTCGAGCACTCAAAATAAAACATCCATATCATTTTTGCAATGTAAACAAAACTCTCGGCTTGAATTTTCAACTGGTGGAGATATAGAATGGACAAGCGATACTGGGAAACGTGAGTTTGAAAACGAGGTTTTGAAAGTAAGAAGTATGAATTTGGATGATATTGGACTCAATAAAGGGAAATTGAGATTCGGGATTCGCATTTTGGTTGAGGGAGGAGTTTACTTTGAAAGATTGAACATTACATCATCTGTTGGATTTGGAGAACTTGCTGGTGATGGTGTAGCTATTGTTCAAGATTCTAAAGATTCAAGGAACCAGCGAAGTAGAATTCATAAAATAGGAATTGACAAAGTTGGGAGGCATTTTGAACTTTTAGTTCAATCTCGTTTAAGAAGACAGATGACTGGTGCAACCCATGTACGCATTCAAATTTTCGATCCTATTGCAAAAGGTGAATTTCGATTTGGTTTTCCTTTGAAACTATTGGACTTTTTTCAGGTTCTTTCAAAAGAAAAATTCAACCGATCGGATCATTCAAAGCAGTCATAATTTGCGATCACACATCACCTGTTTTACAAGGGCGCTATGGAGTTGGAATTGATAATCCAATGGTTTCAATTGCAAATGCAGCCAGTAATGCAGCTTCAGCATCTCGACGAGGTGCAACATTAGGTAAAGATGAATCTACTGATATTCCAGATGGCGAATTGCACTTTTTCTTAAGTCTATTTCGAGATGCTCAAAATGTGAAGCTACCTGTGGAAGTACCTCTGCGCTGGCATAGTAAATTTATTTATATTAAATGAATTTAGTCTAATTTTTCCAGTTGTTTCACATAACTTGGCAGGGTACAGTGATATGACACCTTATTTGAGAGAATCGCTTGCATATATTCTTCCTCAATCAACGATATTTGCATTCCAAAATGCTCTTCGACTTGAATCATTAGATGATATATTTTATTCTTATGGAGATGTGGAAATGCCAGACCCAAGTCACTCAACTGCTGCAACTGAAGATAAAACTACTTTGAATTCGGCTCAAAGAATGAGAATTCTTTTTGAACTTACAGACAGTTGTGGAGTTGATGGTTGGAGTGCTCATGATAAACTTCGAGGAATTGAGCAAGTTATTGAGGAAATGATGATGGGAACAGAAAGAATTGTTTTCAGAAGTGACCTTTTTAATTTGGTTGAAAATTGTGTTTTACATTCGGCTGTGAGACGTGATGACAGTTTAATTGAAGGGATTTTGGAAAAATATATTCATGAAAGCAAAGACTTAACAAAATCAATACGACTTCCCAGTGTTGTGATTTTGAGACACATATTAACATTGAAAAAGGTGAGTCATCTTTGAATTTTCAGTACTTTATAAATAATACTTCTTAAGTTCGTGGTTGTAAATGTCAGGGCTAGAAATTCCCAGAGTTTAGAAATAGATTTCCTTTTGTCGCTTTTAGAATATTTAAGAATATCGTATGGACTTCCAATGATTGTGACAGGATCATTCGCTGCGGATTTCAATAGTCTTGTTAACAAGAAACTCATCAAAACAGATCTATTTCAGTATGTTTTTCGTTTTTGCTTCTGACTTCATTATCATTGTACAAAATATACATAGACAATTCTATCCAGTCTCATGGACAAATAGTCATTCCCATTTGTCATTGGATTCCAATCTGTTTTCTCCATTTACGCAAGTCTGGTTTCCTGATCTTCCTTTGTCCTCGCAACTTCCAACAACGGCAATTTCTCCGTTTGCCTACTTAAGGCGAGATAAAATTGACAGAACAAAACTTTGCATGGTTATTGACGAAGAAATATCATCTGTTTCGCTTCCCCTTGACACAACTGGATCAACCATGCAAACTACGGCTTCAAAAACTGACGACATTTTACTGAGATTGGATTATTGCAGAGATTTAATTGTGTTTAATAAATGGTTTGCTAAGAACATCGGATCAAATTTGATTACCCATGATCGGATTCCGGCTAGGTATGAAACGTGTGCCTCAGATTATTCTGGCCATAGTAGGGAAGATGAATCATTTACAACTCACTTTCCTGTAACTTATAATTTAACTTCAAGTAATACAATTAAAAAAAAGAAAAAGGAATAAATGATTGAATGGATTAATATTATTATTACAGGTGGACAAATTTACAAGGTTGTATCTTTTAACTTGAATGGATTAGGGATAGAACGAGCTAAACGACTTTCTGCATTTAAAAATCCTAGTCGTTTATTTAACTATCTTGCCAAATTTGATATTGTTGTTCTTCAAGGTGAAGGGGAAGACTCCAAGGATTTAACAATATCTGAAATAGTCCGGCTATCTTTACAGAAATCTTCTGAAATTGACAGCGAAGTTGATTTTCAGTGGCGCCACACTGAAATTGTTGCGGTTGGTCCTGAAAGTCATACAATGCAAATATACTGGAGAGATTCCACGAAACTAAGAAGTCTGCAGTGTGCCGCGGCTCCATACTCAATCACTCCACAGATTACCCAACATATTCTTGGTTGCGTTTTTGAATCATCAAATACAACTTCCCCAGACCCTTCCTACTTTTTATTGGCCAACATTCACGATCACAACTTGGCACCATTAACTAATCCAGCTCTTGATTTGTCAGATTCAAATGTAAACGTAATGAAGCGATTGTATCAAGTACTTTGTCGTTCTGTGGTCTCAAGTTCTGATGAAGGATTGGAAATAGATGCCGAAAAATGGTGCAAAGGATTACCAATGCCTGCAGCATTCATCGGATCATTTAATTCTAATTTAAGAATAAAAAACAACAGTACATGGACTGAATTTAAGAATACAGTTGATGGAATGACGAAAGAAATGTAATTTAAATT